TTCATGGTTGTACTGTACAGGAAATTAATTTTATAAATTGAAAAACTCTCAGGGTGTGGCTCTACTGCGTTTAAATTTTAGGATATTCTGGACAGTAGCCTTCATACTGGCAGTAGTAACAGCAGCCTATTTCATCACTCTTCTATACCACAAGTGGGATGACAGCCCAGTCATTGAGTCTATTGCTGCCAGAGCTACAAAGATGGTCTCCATTCCCTTCCCAGCTGTAACTGTATGCAACATGAACAAAGCCAGAAAGTCTGTAGCAGAAGAAATACTTAATTCAAAGTATGTATAAAACATTTTATTTTACAAGAAATATTTCATTAAAATAAATGTACACTTCAAAGAAAACAGATTTTTCCTTTTACACTTCTGTAACAGAGTATGGTCAAACCTTGATAAAACACCCCTCTGTATATTGCCATCCTTACATCGCGTCCAGGAATGTCTCAGAACAGAAATAACCTGTATAATTTCAAGGGGAATCCCCAAATAAAGTGAAACCCTGCTAGCCAACATCTGTGGCACTACAAATGTAAGATTAAGTACTATAATCAAGATTTCTGTCTTCTGGGTTGTTGCGCGGTGTAGTCTGGTCGATGTTAACCAAGGTTTCAGAGGTCATGCTGCCTCCGCCATCAGGGCGTTGGTTAACGTCGACCAGACTACACAGCGCAACAACCCAGAAGATAGAAATCTTCAATTTTAGTGCATGTTTATGACGTTCAACATATCTGCACATCTGATGATTGGAAACTTTGCAGAAACATGTAGTGTGAACGTTTTATTACCATAATTGAAATAAATATCTTATTCAATGTGATTTTGTAAATTAACGTATTGGTAATAAATAATAATAACATCATAATAAAACTTCTTTTGTTACCTTTAATTTTGTTTTTATTTGCTGTCTGCATACTTATATTGCACACCTCAAACACTTGAATGTTCACTGTATTTTAGCTGTATTTCATATCCAAGTCATTATTCGTGAATGGCGTATTAACATATCCGCATATCGAATATATCTTGACTAGTGTGATGTGTGTTGTTTAAGATGAGCATAAAGCTGCTACTGCTGTATACAGAGACACAGACAGCTATATTTGTACGTATGAACACTAGTGATTAACATTTGTCAAATGAAAAAGTTTGGAAAGTGTATTCCGTACCGGAATACACGGAATATCTTTATATCCTTTGAAACGTGCATGTAGGGGTATCATATTCTCCTCGTTTCGCGACATAAATTTGTCAAGCATTTTAAAATAGTCTCAATTTTAAAATATTCAACATTAACTTAAATTAAGTAGGATCTGAGGCTGTGAGTACGAAGATGGTTGTCTTCTGGGTTATAGCACCTTGTAGTCCAGAAGAAGTTTACCAACGTTTCAGAGTCCTTGCGT